TTTAACGGCTGGAGCGTGGTTAATCGTCTCTCGATACTGAAACAGTTAACGGTATCGTTTCAACGCGGATAAATAAAAGAGCGTAATCTCGACACGCACAACCCTCGGGGAAATAAATGATACGGCACACACTGGATTCGTAGTAGTTGTGAACGCGTCCAACTATTGATCGACGCTGTTTCAATGAATATTTTTTCATGCAGCAGATCTAATTGTTACGCCTCTTTGTCACTAAACAAACTGCGCTTCACGCTCATAGCGAATCCTTGCATCTTTTATCAGACACATTCACTACCGGTCGAATTTCCTACGTGTCGTTGCTACGTGATGTTTAACAGCATATACGTTGTTATAAAGCAACGAAAATCCTCCGATAAGTGAGCAGAGGAATATAAGTCACAATTGTTAGTTTGCAGTTGGAAAGCAAATTATTTATAATATTTAAATTTGAAGTGTGATTTAGAATCCATGTTAGATCGTTTTTCTCGTGAAAATCGATAAGACATGTCTGTTTGAAGTCCGACTGTACTTCAAGATGTACATCACTTCCTTGAAAGTGATAACTATATCATTTAATTGTAATTTCATTTACATCCTTTCGTCGGAGACTTCAAAATTGACGTTTGTTTGGAACTCGAATTTCTGAGAATACGAGATATTTAACACGTTAAATATCAAGCGATTTACCATAATTTGCAAAGTCTGAGTCTTTCGTACGAGTTCGTCGAGCCTCTGGCCCCTGTCAATCAACTTTTGCACGCCGTCCATCAATGTTTTCCGGATTTCCGCCAGCTCCTGCTCCAGCTTCGGTATTATTTCGCTTTGTTGATTGTACTCGTCCTGAAATAATCATAAACTGATAAATTCCCGGTAAAGAAGAAGAAGAAAAAAGAAAGAAAAATAAAGAAAATTATCGGTGTTTAAACTCGAGGAAGGTCTTAGGTCAAAGTTAGGTGGAACGTACGACTATCTTCTTCAGAGATTTCGAGAAATCAATGACCGCGAGATCGGTCAGGTCCCTGGTGAGATCAGCCAAAATCGGCAGTTCTCTGTAAATGTTTCGCATCCTCTCGAGAAACACCTGCGAACAGGATTCCAGCTTGGCCGCTGACGAAGGACAGTCCGGTTTCAACGTGAGGCAGGCGTAATGTAGTTCACCGATGAGCACGTGAACCGTGTACCTGCGGATGAACGGTCTTCCAAGAAATAGTCCTTTAAAAACTGAGCTTTCAACTTCTTCCTTCTGTCTTACTTTCATTTATTTCTCTCACTCGTCGTTATTCAACTTGAACTTCATTCGAGAATCGAACTTGCGAATTTCGCAAGGATTACTTCCGAAATTGTATTTTTCAGAAAATAATGAACTAAGAATTATAGAAAGATAAATACTACTACTAGTCAAGTGACATCCAAATCAATTGTTCTCAAGCAAATAATAGTATACTTCAAATATCCAAATTAGCACGCTTACTTGCCCCGGTCGAGGCTGATCTTATCGTTCTCCAACGATTTCAGGCCGTCAACCGTGCTGAGCGCGATCGCCCTGTACGCTGGATCCTGTTTCGCCGGGTAATCCGCCACGATTTTGCATCCGGATTTCTCCCACAATGCCACCAACGCGTAGTACACCGTTTTATTCATCTTCCTCGTTGAACACAAAACACATCCGCCGAACCTTCCCACCGAGAAACGCCAATGTAACAAGAATCAAACAACAGGAACTGAAATTGTAAAAAGAGTTTCTTGCTATCCCTTTTGCAATTAGTGTTAGAGGGGATGAACAAATGAGAACGATTCGAATAACCTTCGTTATAAATACAATTGATTGATATTTTCGGAAACACGAGTGACAGTCTGCGTTATAACTACTAAATGGAAATAAATTTACTTTTACTAGAGACAATGATAGATTATACCTTCAGTGACGTCAACATACAAATTATTAATTCGAAATTAGCAGAGCGAGAGTTAGCAAAGAAAATACTCGTAAAAATATAGAAAATATTTAAACGTGTAACAAGAAGCGGAATATCAAAACGATAATATATCTTTTACTTACCTTTCTTTTAGTCCAATGGAAAACCACTCAGCTGCCGCGTGTTCGTGACCGGTCTCTGGTGCTGTGGATACTGCCAAAAATCGGCGCTCGTCGACTTTGGCGAACGCAGACGGTGCACTTACGTGGTGGAAAATGGACGACCATTCGCGAACCGATTAGTCGGACTATGTGTATCAAAGGCGGCGAAGAGGCAAACACGTCGTCAGGTCTTCATCTGGCTGTTTACCAGGCCCAGAACGGTGTATCGCGAATGAGTAATGAAAGAATATTTCGATAATGGGACGATAACGGGTTGAGCGACGTCGTCTCGAGCAGAGACTCTGCTTCTTCTTCTCGCGAGGTTCGCGCATTCTCTATCGTCGAACACTCGATGTTTCCTCGCTGGCCGTCTTTTTGCGATTAGATATCGAGACGATGGCTCTACCGGCATGCCTACGGTTTAGTCGACGCTTCGGTCGGCTGGAGCCGAGAAGAGTTCAGTTTAGTATTTTTGTTCTAAATCTTAATTTACAGACGAATTTTTATGGAATGATTTATTGGACGCGTTTGGTCGAACATGCTAATGAGTAGAATGCAGTTCAGATGGAGATAATGGAGATGGTTGAAGAATTTTTTGATGGAATGATTTATTGGATCAGTTTGGTTAAACTAGGTAACGTGTGTATCTTTGTGCTGGTTAGATGCGTGCGAATTGAAAATTGGGATAAATGAAGTGCAACGGAGATATCTGAAGATTTTTAAATGACCTTGGTAATTCAATGCGCGAATAGTTTAAAGTGCGTGATCAAATATTCTTGATAGAAATATGTGTAATTATAAATTAAGTAAGTTGAACTTGCTCCTTTCCTTGAAATCTGCGTGAAATGGAAGTTATATTTCAATCAATATTATTAGTATGTAGATAAATAATTTATCACTTTGTAGGAAAGAAAAAGGAGCATTAATTCTCAAAACAAAGTAGATGCATTCATTCTATGTATGAACTCTTTGTACTCATTATCAATTTTTTATAAAACTATTTTCCACTATATTCGACAGATAAAATACTCAGGAATAAAGTGTTTCAAAATAAGACCGATATGTGAAGAAGTTATTCAACGAAACGGTTGAACGAGTCCAAAATTATGTGACAGAATGACTATAAATGAGATTATTGGTAAATTGCGTATGATTACATCGTTTCTATGTGCTTCGTACATTATAATTAATATTATACCTATATATAGCGAATACTTATGCAAATTCATGTTACTCTGATTACTAACAATATTTGTATTCATAACGAACAGTATATTTTGAATATTATACATACTATGCACGTTCTATAGTGTCTTCGTATTTCTCACAGATGCATGAACATTCGCAGTTCTAATTAAAATATTAGTGGCAGACATTATTTAGTTTGTTTACCGATATAGCGGTTTACGAGGACGTATTGTTAATTGAACGAAGGTTACTGCAGAGTGGATATCGATCGCGTATTTCTAGACAAATCGGGGAGCATTAATCTGATCGCGTTAATCGTGGCCGATAATGGATTCCAAAATACACTCGGAATTACGTTTCCGTTAATTAAATATTTGACATAGATACGGCGTTCCAGTTGAATCGTACGTCTCGTCTCATATTAAAAGAACGGCTATTAATCGAAGCCATTAGACGATAGCCATTGCTCGATGCTTCGAGAGTTTGCATCCAGCCAATCGATGTTGTTCTCGATCTCCTCGATTGCGTTCCTCTTTGCGTTTTCAGTTACTTTCAAATCGGCCTTTTGTAGAAAGAATTGCGTCGCCTGTGAAATGAATTCACGTTTTTTCCTTCTTAGAAATATACCTAACTTTCTTTTCAAATTGCTGCAAACTTTGCAACGTTTTGGACAAAACTTTATCTTTCTTCTGGTGAAATAAATGGTAGAATTAGTTGTTAGGAAAATTACTTACTATTTTCTAGAGAATGTTGACAGAAACTTAAACAGAAACTTAAACTTTAAACTGTTTATTAAAAAGGCTGTCGGTTGTTGAAAATTATTAAATTTGAGAATTTTAAAAATTAATATCGTACAATATAGTTGTGTTTTTCTTTTTAAGTTATATCGTGTAAAAAAATCAGGAAAATATCAGGATTCTAATCTCAATTAGAGTAAAGAAGAAATTACCTCTCGTAGCTTCGCACGATCTTTAAACAAGGATACAATTTTGCAGACGGTATTTCCTAAAGTGTACTCGTTCCTTTCGTATTTTACAAGTAGAGTTTCCCATCGAGATCTGAGGAAGGATTAGTATTTTGTTGCGATAGCGTGGATCGTGAAAATTGTACGAAAGTTGTCTGGCTATCAGAAAGAATGTCAGTACCGCACGAAATTCCAGGCGACGTCCAATCCCACGGGATTCGTGGCGATCTTGATCAACAGCGTTGCAAAGTCTTGTTTACGAATGAACGTCTCGTTTGTTGCTCGTTCTAGATATCTATAGTCGAATGAACGTCGAAAAATCGTTCAAAAAGGTTATTCTCGATTTGACAAAAATTTCAGACATTTTCAAGTGAGAATTCTAAAGTTTTGAAATAGTCAAGTAGTAATTTCGGAGTGCGAAAGTTTGATAATTTTGGAATTTTAAGAACTAAATTCTAAAATTGGAAAATATTGGAAATCGGAAATGTCTGAATCCGAGGATTCTAAGAATCAATATTTCGCGTTTCGAAGTTTGAATTCTAGACGTATGAAAATTTTTAAAGGGTCTCCAGAATTTGAAAATTCGGCGATCCTGGAAATTAAGAACTTAAAAAATTTAATATAAACACCGTGGAAATTAATATTCCTAATTTTAAGACTTAGAATTTTTAAGTTCCAACTACCCAAAGTATTAAAATGCGAATGCTAGAAATTCTAAATTAAAAACAGTTGAAGTTTTGAAACAACTCAACAACTTTAAAATTTACACAGTTCACGTGTATTACGTCCTCGGCCACGCGAGCTCGATATCATCCCTCTTTTCGCTGTCTCCATTTCACATTCACCTATAAATTTATATTCCCGCTTAGTGGATCGCCATAAATCCGACGTGACTTCGACAAATTGGACAGCGACACGCGAGAAGATAACAGAGAGCTGGGGCGAGAGCGCGTCGAAGGAGCGCACGTTTGCTGGCAATTAGCTTGGGAATGAATCGCGTTCTGACGAACCGATTAAGAATATCTTTGTCCGGTACTCCGGTCATCCCGATCATCAGACGTTCCTTTTCCTGAGCGTCGTTCACCGTCTCGAGCAGTCGCGACATTTTCTCGAACATCGATCCGACGTCGTCCAACATCTTAACGAGACCTATCGTTACACTGTTATTATCGTGAATAACAAAAAGTATGGATACGTGAGCGCAGAGCGTATGGACAAAATATTTCCCAAATTTCACTTTTACCGTACGAGTAGACGATAGACCGAATATCTGGCAACATTTGCTGGCTATCATCAGTGTTTTCCAACAGGAACCTTCGCAGCCTCCTTCCGGTTGTCTTGAGGCAGTGTTCGTGGCCTACGCTGCAAGCTGCGTTCAATATCAAGACACGAAGTTCTCTTGAAACGAACGGAGACGAGACTTTCTTAATGGAAACGTTGCGCTCGAATGTAGATAAATATGAAGGAGAATGTAACGAATAAGAAGAATATTTTTTTGGATTTTCGTATACTTTTTGTGTTTCAGCCACTGTGTTCTTTAATCGGTTAGAAGTAGTTGTTAGAATTTAATTTGTTGATTTTAGAATTTAAAAATTAACACTCTACCGGTGGATTTTACAAGATTATAGAGCTCTAAAAACTTTGTACGATAAAAGTCCACAATCTGAAACTTATCAATTGTCGAGTACTTGTTAGTCAGAAAATTATTGCGTAGGAGGACCTAGGTTTGCTAAATATTTTCATACCAAGTGGCCAATTCTTAAAAATAACTAAAGTAAAAGTGAACGTTTGCGAAATAAAAAAAAAAAAACCATTCCTTCCATCGTAATAAGTTTAAACTAACCTGTCTTTGAACGAATCTTTTTCATAATTACGCCATCCCACTTGATGATAAATTCTGTCTACCAGACTTCTCGCGTATGACTAAAAAGTTCACAACGAAAAAGAAGAAAATATAACGAAGGTGTGGTACAGTGATTATTAGACTGCAGATGTTTATGCGCTTTGGAAAAATTTAAAAATGCAAAAATTTACAGAATGTGAATGATATAACATAAATGGAACACTTATTAGAATATTTAATGAATGAAACAAATTTCTATTTAAGTTTCTATATTTCTAGGATGCATAGGAATCTGCAATCTACTATAATTAGATTATATTATTCTGAAGCTTATAATACTCGAAAACGTCGCAGTACGTGGGTTTTATGGAGCAGTCTGTTCATTTGTCCGAACCATTCCATAGCCACGACCCATGATTGATAAGTGTCTTCGTTCATCAGATAAAACGTTAAGTTCATAGCTGTAGAATAGTTCAAGTCAGTTTCTGCTAGAAGAAAAGCATCGTGCAACAAGTCCGCTCTGTTCATAGCACTTAACGCCTGCGACAATTTCAACGTGAGAACTATTAGACTAACAACCAACGTGAAAATCAACTACCAAGCAAAAAATTTAGAGGATAATACAAAGTATCTGTGGCGCGTACCGAAGGATTATAGAATAATAAATTGCCGAAAACGTTCCAGGCATCCTCCGTGTAGTTCACGATGTAATAGCCGATCGAATCATGATTCAGTTTGATCCAATTCACTGACTTCTCCAATGACAATTCCACTACAATTCACAGCAATTACGTTAACAAAATTGGCAGTGGGAATTTGTTACGTACGTTGTTATTACCGCAAGAGTAGTTTGCGAGGAACCAATCCAGCTTGACGCCATCTTTCCTGCTTGTTACGTATCTTATTGGAATTGTCCAACTTCCGTCGCTGTAAACGAAAGTTCATCGTGACTGAAGAAGTTTCCGAATTTTTAACTCATCATTTTATTTTCTTTCTAAATTTGCCAAAAGTCCGCCAAAAAAGTAAAGTCAAAATAAAGCTGTCAAATTCTCTGTTTATGTTAAAAATTTTTACTCAACCATAATCACATTAAAACTCCTAAGGATCACACAGAGAAGTTACAATATCTTATATTCACAACTGCCTTTCCATTTCGTTTTCTACTTCATCCCTCCATATTTTTTTATTTAATTTATTTTAATATTTTATTTCGCATCCTTTTCCTTTCCTTTCTCTCTTCAACATTCGTTTTTATTCTCTATACGTACTGGATCGTTTCACTAAATCGTCTACTCGTGGCGAAGCGCCGCTGGGATAGTTGAAAGCCTTTATTGTCTCGGCGGACATTGATCACCGGAAATCCAGGGAATCTCATCCATCGGCGGACGAAATCGACGATGTCAATGGCGGCTTGCGTAGTGTTCCCCAGGATATCGAACAGCTCGCGAGATTCCGCGTTACGAAACTGGTACCTTCTCAGATACTTCCTGACACCAGAAATCAACTTAGCGTTGCCAACCGTGTCCTCGAGCATCCTAATCACCGATGCCGCCTAACATTCAATCAACCAATTGAACTGTACTTTTCTTTGTCTTCCTTCGTCTGCGTAACTCTTTGACTAACTCTCGAAAGTATAAAAGTTAATTTTCCGAGGAAATTTTATTCCTATTATTATATTACGTTTCAAACGTAAAATTCTATTGATTTGTTCTTGTGAGATATTGCGGAGATTTTGTCCCTAACTATTGAGAATGAAACATATTTTTACTTTTTATCTGGTACCTGGTATTATTAAATTATTTAAATATTGGACTTTATCGATTTTTGAAGTAAAAAGATATATTTTAAGGGTTAACATACTTTCTGATAGGAGATTCGATCGAACATTTCTTCTATTTCATTCAAATCTTCGATCCGTTTTACAACTGAGCGAGTACGTATTTTCACATCGTGTTTCATAGAGATGTATTTAGTGTATAATGGAAAGGAATCCATCTAACGCGAGAAATGAGCAGAATTAGAAGAACTAGAATTAGAAATAGAATTATTGATCGTAGATTTAAAAGTAAATAACCAGTTTCCAATCTGGGAACAAGGAGTCAACTGCTATGTGCTCCATATATGTGGCGAATCCTTCGTTCAACCAAAGATCGTCCCACCATTTCATGGTAACCAGATTGCCAAACCACATGTGTGCCAATTCATGGGCCACAGTCAAGCTGACTTTTCTCATATTGGTGCAAGAACTATCGTTTTCGCTGTGAAGCAGCTGTGTTTCACGGAATGTGATGAGACCCCAATTCTCCATGGCGCCCGTTGCGAAATCGGGTATACCGATCAGATCTGATCGATAAAACATATCTCTTTAAACACAATTTCCTTAAACTTTATTAATCTTACGTAGACTGTGTGACAAATTAATTTTTATTTCTAGTATTTTTTTCCAACTCATATTCTATAAGTATATGCTGCATCAAGACAATTTTAATTCAAGATTCAATTTCCAGCTGATTTTGTTGTAAAACACGAGAAAGAAGTGGAAGAATATTGTAAAATTTGTTCTGACATAAAAATCTTGAATTACCCAATTTTTGCAGTGGATAATTGATCTGAAAAGTTTCCAGATAAAATTTCATCGCTTTAATCGTGATATTTAAGGCGAATGCTGCCTTTTGTTTGAACATAGGCCTCACACATACAGCAACTGGTATTTTACTTTCGTTCAAAAGGTTCATATGAGACCCTAAACACTCAAAGTCACTGACTAGGAAGGCAACAAGATAAGTGGACATCGGTGGCGTAGGTTCGAAGTATGCGATCGTTTTATCATTGTCGTCTCCCATCGTCTCCATTTTCTGGAGGAAATAATACCACCGTATATGTATATGTATTCAATGATTTGTAATTCGTGTATTAACTTACTTCAATTGGCATGTTTGATCGAGCGTGATAAAAGAACTTCTTGGAATAAACGAGACGAATAAGAAAAATGGATTTGAAGCTTGGTTCATCGAAGCAAGGAAACGCTGTTCTAGCGTAGAATGGCTCGAATTGGGATACTGCTAACTTTCTGCACAGTAAATAATGCAGGGATGATTGTCATAAAATTCATTAATAAATTGAGTAATTTTATGCAATTTTACATCTTTGTGAACATAATTAAAATAAATAGAAATTGAATTTTGAATTGAAACGTTAATATTCATTCTATTAAATATTTACGTATTCATTAATATATAATGAAAATAAAAAATATATCAATATGTTATTTTAAATATTTAAAAATAGCCCATAGTTTACACGCTAATAATATTCACCTAATGGATTTATTTTCATCGACGTAGGTACTTAAATAGAATCCATTTATTTTTCCTTTTAATCTACCACTGAAATTCATTTTCAAATAGTACTCTCCTAAAGAGATATTTCTATAAGGTTTGATAACCAACATCTCACGTTTTCTTACAGGAAAGACGGACTGTATTCGAACTTCCGTTTGAAACTTTCCTGCGTACAATTTGGTTGATGATATGGCCAAATCCTTCGAGTGTAAAGCGATATAACTTTGGTCCTTTGTAAAAAAACGTTAACGATACAATATTTTTTAAATACTTCTAACTACATCACGTTAATTGTTACATATGAATGATAGAAACTACTAACTTTTAATAATTCGAGATCGATACGAATGCTACCGTGAAATTCGTCCTTTTGGAAGTCGGGCGAGATCGCAATCACGTATTTCCTGGGAAGTACATGCTGTGGTAGGCGCTTCTCGATCTCCATAGATTCATTGTAATATGGATTTAAATTATCCGGGGAAACCTGCCCGTTGATCACACGAGAATCTTTCGTCTTCATTAAGACTATTGTAATTAAGATAAATCGCCAGCCGGTCATTTTGCTTCCAGAACAAGGATTTCTTGTTCAAGACACTGGCTTCCTTATCTTGTCAGGCCGCAGAGCTTAAGTTGAAAAACGATTTCGTTCTGTTTATCCCAACTAAATGCAAATCTCTCAGTTTGCTTTCTACAAAGGGGGATTATAATTTTAAAAAATGTTGCGTCGAGTATTTTTTTTTTTTTTTTCAATTAAACCGAACTGGATGATTTAAAAGATTGGTTAGGCTTCTTCTTGTTAAGAAGAAAACACTGCTTACTTCACTTTGTGCGTTTCAATCATTCCGCTGTGAAAGAAAATCTTCACATGTAATGATTAGGAATTAATTTTCGAAAATAAGTTAATTTTAGAAAGCAAGTGATGTAATATTTTTTTTATAGAAATCTCATAAGTTTGTATTAGATTGTAAATTAAATTTCAACGCCATTTCAAATATCTCATCAAAGTTATACCAAAGTGCTAAAAGTTTAGTTTAAGTACAATCTAATAGACGGGGAAGCATTTTTCAAATTAAATCATTGAGAACCAGTAGTGATTTATAGACACTTCAATCTGGAAGTTAAGTATCAAGCGAATTTATTCACTTTCATGGCTATGATATTAAAGAGTACACTTGATAACGTAAAATGAGCGAAGAAAAATAAAATGTTGCATTAATATGTAAAAATGATTTCGTAATCCAGTAATCGGTATCCTTCTGCACACTACACTATGGTAAAGTGAAAGTAACCAGAAGAGTGCGAGCATGGATTGACTTCGAAATAGTAGGCCAATGAGAGCGGTCAACGTATTTTATAGAGAGTGAGAACATACCAGATAAGAGAAGGACAAAAAGAATCCCAGACTCTGGAGAGGGAAATATATAATTCTTACATAAGCTTGGAAACCAGTTATTCTACAGTGAATTACCGTGCGTTGCACTCCACTGTCTGTGAGTCTCTGTTCCATTCATATTAGAAATAACATTGTTAATACAAATATCATTATCGTTGAATTCTACAAAATTGCATTGTGTAAAATTTTATCAATTTAAATCGGTAAATCATAAATAATCGATTTTTAAATCAAACTAACTCAGTTGAATTCAGCTCAATGTGTTCCTTGAATTAATTTAAATTAAAATAATTGCGCGATTCGTTAAAACGGCATTTCATTCACTCAAAATTATATTCCGCAGATTTACGACGATGGCTAGTTACAAGTTGGTGTATTTCAACGTAATGGGACTTGGAGAACCCATCAGATTTCTTCTCAGCTACGGGGGCGTCGAATTCGAGGATATTCGTGTAAACCATTCGTCGGAAGAATGGGCCAACATGAAACCAAGTATCTCGTATTTCCATGGCTTTTTAGCTTTATTTCTATGGAAATCTCGCTATATTTCAATGTTTTTGCAGTGACCCCGTTCGGCCAGTTACCCACGTTGGAAATCAATGGCAAAGTTTACTCGCAAACATTATCTATTTGTCGTTACCTGGCCAAACAGTTTAATCTGCTTGGGAAAACCGATTTAGATACGTTGCAGATCGACGCGATTGCGAGCGCACTTTACGATTTCAGACGGCGTAAATATTGATTTCGTAACTATGCAAAATGATCCCTTTTCGAATGATATGCTCACGGGAATAACGTTCAATCTCGCTACAAGGATCGACGTAAGTTCCTTTTTTTTTTTTTTCTTTCCAGTGGCGATATCATCTTATTACAGGGAGACTGATCCAGCTGTGAAAGCCAAGAAGAAAATCGACGTGATGACGAGAGTGTATCCGTTTTACTTGAGTAAGCTGGAGGATCTGGCGAAGAATAATGGTGGTTATTTGCATGGCAATCAGGTAGCCATACATTTGTCTTAAGCTTTAAGAAGATAAGAAATTAAACGATTTACATTTTCCGAATTTTTCAGTTGAGTTATGCCGATCTATTCTTCGTTGCTATATCGGATTCTTTAAACATGGCTTACGAATCTGACATAACGAAAGACAAACCGCATTTGAAGTCTCTCAAGGAGAAGGTTTTGGCACATGAAAATATAAAGAGTTGGATAGAAAAGAGACCAAAGTTGGAGTTCTAAACCTAAAACACGCGTAGCTGAATCTCGCACGATGAACGGCTTAAAAATGTGCATATGTATTTTACAAATACAATAACATGAAAATTCGAACGTTAGAGTTGCACTGTGCATTTATCGCGTAACGTGTAGTTTGAATCTGGCGGTACTGCACACGAACTGCTAACTTACCAGCTGTTGTTTACGTCAGGCTGCAGCGAATTAAAAACGCGATGCCTTCGAGGAAACAAACGAAACGCGATTAATTAAAACTGCGTTTGAAGTGCAAATGGAACAGGTATTGAAACTAACAACCGCTTCCAAATTTGGGAACGTTCAAAGTCATCGTCACGGAAAACTAACAAGTGGCCTAGTAACCCAGTTCGACGAAACGATCGATACGCCCGTTTTCGATTGATGTCCACCGTTTTGAACGTGTTTCCCGGGGAATAAAATCGGGCCGGTCGGCCCGGTGACATCGAAAAAAGGTGAAATTTTGATTGATTTACGTGAAAGATCGTCGATTGACCAGGGCGGTTAGTGGCGCCTCCACTCGGTGAACGGGTGGCGGCAGCTAGTGGCCGCGCGGCCAATCAGCGCTCTCGAATGATCGCTGCGCGTGGACAGCTGCGCGTCCGTCTCTTAACCGCGGAGCCGTCAGTGTGCGTGCCGCGGAGAGCCAGATAGACAGACATCTTGTAGTAGAATTTAGCGGCGTGGTGTTTTCGACCGTGGGTGTCGGTGTCACGGTTTCGTGTCGCGGTGCTCGTCATTACGGTGTCGTCGCCGTCGCCGTTGTCGTTGTCATCGTCGTCGTCGTCCTCGTCATCATCATCGTCGTCGTCGTTGTCGTCTCCTCCGTGGTCGTCGCCGCTGTCTTTTTTGTCGTGCTCGTTCTCCCTGTGTTCACGCCGCCGATCGTTGTAGTTGTCCTCCGCCTCGTCGTCGTGGTCGCCGTTACCGCTGCCGCCGCAGTCGTTAATAGTCGTCGTGTCTCTCACGGCTGTCGTTCACCCGGAGGTTCTGCCGTGCTGCTTGTGTGGTGGTACCGCGGTTGCGAGACCCCGTCGGTGCGGGCCGTGCAGCTCGCGTGGTCCAACGATCCAGTTACTCGCCCCGCAAAAGGCGTTGGTGGTGTACCTTTTGTCGGGCAGAGGGAGAGAGCGATAGAGCAAGATCGGGAAGAGGAGAGAGAGATAGATATAGCTAGAGAAAGAGGAAGAGAAGGAGAGTGGAAAGAGGGAGCGAGAGAAAGAGAGGAGAAGAATCATAGCTGTTGGCCGGTCGCGGTGTAGTAAATAGACGGGGAGTGAGAGGAACATACACACACACATACACACACGCCTGGGAGAATAATTTCTCACTGTGCAAACGCCCAATGAACAACGCTTCGGAGCCACCGATGTGCCGCACCGTGCGATAACTTCCGTCACCTCTCCGGTCCCCCCGTCTCCTCCCTCCCCTGCTCCGTACGTGTATATGTGTATGTGCCGCGCCGGGCTCTCGAGGTGAAAATACCGCCCTCTCCTTCCACCCAACCCCCCGTTCGCGAGAGGAAGGTGCTACCTCGCGCGAGTAACTACGGCTAGAGAAAGAAGAAAAAAAATAGAGTGACAGAGTGACACGGTGAGAACGAGAGAGGGAGAGAGAGAGAGAGGGAGGGAGAGAGAGAGTGGGAGAGAGAGAGAGAGAGACGATCCTGTGTGACCGGGGAAGAGGAAGAGTGAAATAGAGAAGAGAGCCGAGAGGAGAGAAAGAGAGCGAGAGGCCGGCGCCCACCCGACAACCATCCTCGTACAGCATGACCTCGAACAACTCGCAGAAGCTCTCCACGACGGAACGAGTGATCAAAAGTAAGCGACAAGAACATTTTTCTTATAATCGACATCGGTGAATGGGTGTATCGTTGTATGTGGAGTGTACGATGCCACCTTGGCTGCGTACGTGCGTGTCAGTGTCGCGCGATCTTAACTTGATGTGTACGTGTGCGTGGCCCTGCGGCCTCGTCTTTTCCGGCTACCTCGGTCGGTAACGTCAGTGTACACTCTCGTATTTCTCCGCTTTCGTGTACGTTTTTTTCTCCGTATCGTGTTTCTATTGCTACTACAGGATGATTCTTATCTGTCCCACGATTCACTCCAATTCTTCTGAACGAAAACGCCGCAGCGTCGCGGCGTTTCGGGAACGAACGACGAAATAAGTAGGCACGTCAAAACACGTCGCGTGCCGTACAGGATTGATTTTCTTCGTAGCTTCGCGGCGCCATTGCTATCGACCTGCCAGCATTCTCATTGACCCTTCGAATCACGCTTTTCCACCCTGGCGTTCCTTTTGCCCACCATTGCGCACGATCAATTTCACGAAAACAGTGAAATCGGAAGCTGGAATTTCAGCCTGTCCCGTTTGCCACCGATTCGGTTATTAGTCGTTCTGTCCCGCTCCGCTATACACCTCGCGCGGTGCAACCTAACCTAATTCGCGTTTTACCCGTCAACCCCGCCTCCCCCGCCATCTTCTTGTCTGCAGAGCCGTGCGGCTCGCGCGGTTAGCCTCGTTTCCACGAGGTCGAGGAACGGAATCGTCTCGAGGACGCGGCACGCCGCCCTCGAGGAGTTTCGCGTCTGGACGTCGTCGTTCGAACAGCTGACCGGCTCGCGTGTACGTGCGCTAATGCGTATCCGATGTAAATACGCGTTTCGCGGCCTGGGAACTGACCATTCGCGTCACGACCACGTTATACGTGCGACGTTTGTACAACGTATTTACGATCGTTCACGCTACTCGTTGCATTCTTGCGTCGGATCGGCGTATTTTTCGAGCGACCTCGTTTCCCTTCCGCAGAATAATTAACATCTGGGTCGTTGGTAACGAGTAAACGTGAAAAATGCGGTCAAACGTTGTGGCCACGAAACTCGTCGATACGTTCTCGTTAACCTCTTGCCACGCACGTCGTGAAGTTTTCGTCCCAAAATTGCAATATTTCCTCAGTTTTAAATATATTTAAACATAACAGTAAATAATAAATTTATTACTTCCTAGTAATAATTTCTATCCAGTGATATCATACCGACCGAATTCAAAAAGAAAGCTTGGTCACTCGTTATGGTCCGTGAACTAGTTGCCAGCGCAAGAGAGGTTAAGCAGATCTCCGCAACGAGCTATATTCGCAATGAAACATATTTCGTTTTTTAAACGATTCATCGCGATTATTAGCGGGGAGAATGGCTCTTTCGGAGCGTCTTTATTGTTTCCGGTCGTTCGACTCGTTAACTCGGTTTAGGCAAGTTCACGCGTTTTTCACCCTCGTCCAACCGCAGTGCGTATTGCACACGCACAATGGCCGCTGTTTGAGCATGGTTTCGTCTCCATTCTTCGATCCGGGCACGCGTCGAATCCACCGTCCGTGGTTCGCCGATATAAGCATGCCCTTTTCAGCGGAGGAAGCGTGCTGACCCACATTGCTGCCGAAAAGGGGAACTGGTTCAGGACGTACAGGTGGCACTTTAGGTCAACGACCTTTATTGCGTGGCGCCCTCCGCGTGTTTTTCTTTCCCCTTCCGAGTGCGCTGCTTCTTTTTTCGCCATTCCCATTCGCCATTCTCGTCCCCGTTTCAAACGTTGCTCCGATTGTTCTTTTCACTCAGCCTTTTGTCCTCCGCGGCAACAATGAGTTTGTATGGGTCCTTTCAAAAGTCTCTGGGACTTTATCAATGTTATTAATCCATTAAAAGGGCCAACGTACCGCCAACCGCGAATTTGAGTCTATATCGATTCTCTTCGTTTCTGCCTTTCTTCTACGTTCCTATATCCATAGGATTGCCAAGATAAATTATTATATATATTAAACTATTATATTATATATATATTAAACTATTATCTTTTTGAATCGTATCTTTGAAATTTGGAGGCCTCCTCTATGGGAGTAAAATAATGTTTCAGATAAGCTCGAAACTTAATTAATATCATAGATTAGTCAATCATAGGTTAATATATATATGTTGGATTGAATTGTTTAGTTGATTTTAAATTGTTTTTTCCCCCCCTTCGTAAAGATTGCCTGATGAAGTTGACTGACGGAATTAAATAAAGACCACCAAATCCAAGCAGTATATCTTCGATATTTTATCTTTTCGTCATATCTGTTTTGTTTACAATTGAAAATCTCTCGTAAGCGCATAAAATCTTTGCACGTTTTTCGCGAGCAAATTAACGAACAATTAATCCATACGCTAGAAATCCGCCGATCATTCGTATTAGTCGATCGATCGGAGCACAGCGACTTTGTAAAAGGTCTATTTAACGTATCGATTTCACTGAACACGCATTGAATTGACAAGCAGCCGGCGTAAGATGAAATGGAGCAAAAATAGACGTCGCCGCGGTCACGCGTACGGCCGCGAACTATCAACCACCGAATATAACTCATTGTCGTGACGGGAATATCGTAATTTGGAGTATCTCCAAGCCTCGTTGACGATTAACAATTTTTAACCGAGCTTTTGATATTCTATGCCGCGTAATTCATCCGCGATTCCGCATGCTATGCATTCGCTTTTTTTTTCTCTCTCTCTCTCTATGTTCTCGCGTTTATTTCACTCTGCCTTGTTTTCTCACCTTGTATGCTCTGACATTCTTCAGATATGTACTTACGTTATTCATAAAACACAAATCTATACTACTAAAGTTACATTGAATGCCAGAACGAAATATTGAATGTCGCATCCATTTTGGATCGTACGAATTTGGGGAAAGCTGAAATTTGCAATTGGAGGATAGCTTTTCATCCATTCAATTACGTTTATTATTTTCCTCCCATCAGTGTATTTACTTAGCCAATCTCTTCGAAATTTCTGTCGGATTATTGATTTTCGTTCAACGTGTAACTTAACGCTTAGACAAAATTCGAATTTGATGTTCCGTCGTAGATATTACTTAAGTCGCTTAAAAATGCTCCTATCTGCTGTTCCATTTCATATTTAAAAAATATTTAAGTAGTTTAGATAGAAGACTGTCATTACATTTGGTTAAACATGAATTTTATCGAGTAATCAGGTGATTTCTCGTTGATGTTTATCTCGTCTCCTCGTACACGTTTTGCATGGTATGATAGAAACGTCATGACTTCGAGGTCTGTTCAGGGTTAAGTTATACGTTGACTTCTGCTTCTCATTCGCCCATCGAGCCACGTGTATGTTGCCAGTCGGTATGGAAATTACGTTGCCATGACTGACGACGCATCTGTTAAGACAGCTTGAAACACGAACCATCGTGCTGCCTTCTCTTTTTTTTTCTTTCGTGCTTATCTGTCGCGTTTATTTCCCACCTTTGATATTCATTTACTACTCACGCCATCGCTCATCACCAATGCGGAATATTCTCAGAGTTTCATGCAAATTTCTGAAAACGTA